CACACACACACACACACACACACACACACACACACACACACACACACCTAAACTTTATGGAAACGGTTAACTCTGTAGTATGCATACGCATTTCTTTTTAGGATTAAATGACATTCTGCTACCTGGATGTAGCACCATTTACCCATTCACCTACCAAAGCTTTCTTCCAACTTCTGTCAGTCATGAATAAAACTGCCATAAACACTTGTGTGGTGAATAAGCCAGACTTAGATACCAGATGTCACATTTGCTCATAAAGGTAGGACCTAGGTTTAAAAGTCTATACATACTTCCATACACATACATTTGCATATATATATATATATATATAAAGTTGTGTATAGATTTTTGTCATTGAGAAAGCTTTGTATCATTATAAAACACAATTCCTAAAATACAGAATGAAATTAACGTGCTTGCATTCATTTGGGGTTTTTCTTCTGTGGTGGTATTTTTGCTCTGAGATGATAATGAGTTTAATGTGTGCAGACTCCAACAGGTAACCATGGATACTCTGTTTTCATTATCTTCTGTATCCTTAGCCTGGAAGAAGGGACATGCAGACACACCACAGAAGAGATTGTCATAGGCTTGAGTTGGTGGCATGTCAGTCTGAGCTCATGCAATTTGCATTGTCAACACACTAAAGAAAAAGATCATAAGATAATTTGACTTGATAGAGCAATGCATTTGATAGAGTCCAACACCCATTAATGGAAAGACTCGGCAAACTGGAAATCAGATGGTGGGCAAACTATGAATAGTCATTTCAGCAAATACGGATACTAAGGAAATGCTGGGAGAGATGGCCAGTGTTGTCAGCCCAGAGAGGCACACACTGCAGTGTCAGATGGGTGAAACAGAAGCGGTGATAACCCCTCAAGCTAACCACTCCTGTTTTGCTGGTAGGATTTTCAAAAGGTGAAGTTGCCCTAGAAAAAAACTTGGTAATATTTTATAAAACTGAACAAATGGCTGGAGAGAGAGCTTGTGGTTTAGAGCACTTCCTGCTTTTGCAAAGAACAGAGGTTTAGTTCTCAACACCCACATGGCAATCCACAACCAGCTATAACTCCAGTTCCACGGATCCCATACCCTCTTCTTGCCTCTGTGGGCACCAGGGACATACAGGTGCATAGACATACATGCAAGCAAAACATTCATACACAATAATAAATATTTTTCCTCCATTAATTTATTTATTTGGTCACTTTACATCCTGATTGCAGTCCCCCTCCTCTCCTCCCAGTCCCCTCCTCACGCACTCTCCGCTCTCCTCCTCAGACTGTGGGAATTCCTCCAAGGGCACCAACCAGCCCTGGTGCATTAAGTGGTTACAGGACCAGGCACTTCCTCTCCCACTGAGGCCAGACAAGGCAGCCCAGTTAGAGCAGGGTTCAAAGGTAGGCACAGAGGGGCCCCGCAGAGTTGTTGGGGACTCACATCAAGACCACGCTGTGCACTTGCTGTATATGTGCAGGGGTCCGAGGACCAGCCCTGTATGCTCTTTGGTTGGTGGTTCAGTCTCTGTGAGGCCCCATGGACCCACGTTAGTTGACACTGTAGGTTTTCTTGTAGAGTCCTTGATCCCTCTGGCTCCCTCAATCGTTCCCTCCACTCTTCCATAAAACTCCCTGAGCTCTGTCTAATGTTTGGCTCTGGGTCTCTGCATGTTTCCATCAGTTGCTGGATAGAGCCACTCAGAGGAGTTATGCTAGGCTCCTGTCTACTAGCACAGCAGAGTAACAGTAATAGTGTCAGGGATTGGTCCTCACCCATGGGATAGGTCTCAAGCAGGGCCAGTCTTTGGCTGGCCACAAAAAATAAATCTCTAAAGACAAAAAACAAAAAAAAACATGTGCCTCTTCTGGGCATGGTTGGTTAATCCCAACACTCAGGAGGCAGAAGCCGGTGGATCTCTGAGTTCCGAGCCAGCCAGGGCTACATAGTGAGACTCTCTCAACAACAACAACAAAACCTGAATACATGACATCCATCCATTTACCAAGGGCACCCTTAGTCATCATAGATATGGAAGCGTACTTACATTATACAAAAACCTGCTCCCAGAGATTTTACCTAAAAAGAACCCAGACGTAGTTAAATAGGTTAAACATCAGTGTCTGCCGCACCCCTCAGCAGTGAAGAGGAAGGAGCTTTCACTGCGCAACAACCTGAATGAGTCTCTGGGAACTGTGCTGGATGTAAAGAGCCAGTCCTAACGGACCACATACTGTGCGGACCCATTTACATAACACACCTTAAATATCAAGATTACACTCAGGCCTGAGAGATTTATAGGAGCCTGGGGTAGATTTGCTTTGTCTCCTGGCTGAATTCATGTCAGATCCCAAACCTAGTGTCCTAGTTGGAGTTACTACTCGTGTGATCAAATACCATGACCAAAAGCAACTTGGGAAAGAAAGGGCTTATTTCACTCACAGTTCCATATAACACTTCATCATCAAAAGCAGTGAGGGCAGGAACTCAAGCACCACAGGAGCCCGGAGGCAGGAGCTGATGCTGAGGCCATGGAAGGGTGCTGCTTACTGGCCTGCTCCTCATGAGTTGCTCAGCCTCTTTCTTAGAGAACCCAGGACTACCAGCCCAGGAGTGATCCTGCCCACAATGGGCTGGGACCTCCCTCATCAATCACTATGTTAAAAAATGCCCTAAAGGCTTGCCTACAGTCAGATCTTATGGAAGCATTTTCTCAATTGACATTCACTTCCTCCTCTCCAGCATATACTGATTTTCCTTTGATCATGTGTCTGAGCATGTACACATGAGTACAGGTGCTTTTGGAGGCCAGAGGCATCAGGTCCCCTGGAACTGGAGTGACAGGCAGTTGTGAGCTATTGGATGTTCATGCTGGAACCCATCTCTATCCCTTTCAAGGCCAGCACACCCTCTTAATGGCTGAACTATCTCTCTGGTGTATTTCTGTTTTGTTTTGTTTTCAATGCATGCCTTCTCTCTTGTTTCTGTCAGGACCTAACATTGTTGCATGATGAATATCCAAAGCAGCTTTTGCCAATGATCCCTCCTTCCATCACGTCTCCTACTTCCTGGCTGTCAGAAGGAGAAGCAGAGGTCTGCAATCTCTGGGATACAGGTAATTTGGTTACAGACAGACGTTTCTTCAGAAACAGAAGGTACACTAGGAGGGAAGGCTACACAAATATAGGATTTGATTTTTAAATACAAGTGGTTGACTTTGTTTCTCCTTGGTAATCAGGGACAAGACTGACATAATAAATCCAACCTGTGCATGGCCTTAGACTCCCATTTTGTCACTTACTACAGTGATTTTTATTCTTTTACTTCTTTTTCATTTTTTTTTAAATCAACTTAAATCCTTAAACTTTTTTGAAAGCTTTGAAGAGTAGAACTAATTTTCTGTTCTTAAAAAATATTTATTTTTATTTTTTTTTATATGTATAAATGCTTTGCCTGTATATATGTCTGTGCATCACATGTCTTGTGCCATGGAGGCTAGAAAAGGGTGTTAGGTCGCCTGGAACTAACAGTTGTGAACCACCATGTGGGTCCTGGGTAGTGAGCCCAGGTCCTGTGCAAGAGCAGCCAGTGCTCTTAACTGTTGAGTCGTCTCTCCAGCATGATTTTAGTATTTTTCTAAGCTTAATTCATTCTTGATGAAGTTTAATGAATGAGATCCTTCTAAAGCAGGCATTACATAAAAACGTGCGTAAGCACAACACATAGTGTCAACCCCACAGCTTAACTAATCATCTCTTGAATAATTAACATTAGGAAAGGGCACAGGCTAAAGCTGGCATGGTAGCTCACACTTGCAATCCCACCACTCAGGATGGCAAGATAGGACAGACAAAATCAAAGCCAGCCTCATCTAAGCCAACCTGCACTACAGTGTAAGACCCTGTCTCGGAAACCTTGGGAGGAAAGGGCACAGGATAAAATGACACAACGTCACCTCCAATAAATGACAATGCTGAGCCCATCTGGGCGCTGCTGTTGTCAGGACCCTCTGGGGTCTGGCTCTGGTTAAACCTCTCCCTTCTGTCACTGCTCTCCATGAAGTCCCAGTTTGCAATAGACTTTGGAGCTGAAGATGGAGCCCAGGCCTCATGGGATGTGCGCTCAGTGCACACTGCACACCCAGGCACATCCTGGTGGCAATAGGCTCCTCTTCTAGGTGTGCTCAGCAGTGGGGTGGACCGCCTTTCACCAGGAAGTGAGGGAGGTGTCCTCAGCCCCTCTCACCCCTGCCTTTGCTTTTCTAGCTCCTAGCTGCCCCCTCCTTCCTCACTAAGGTAGTTCCTCATGGTTTAGAGTCTCTCTGCTTCCTGTTCTTTGACCATAAACCTCAAAGTTTCTCCTTATACAGATTCGCAACACCCCAAATTGGAAAGCCACAATGTCAGTATAGACTTATTTCCTTACAAGCACACGTTTATGAATAGTTCTGTAAACTCCTGTGAGAACTATAAGAATATTTTTAAAAGCAACAAAAACTTGAAGTTGCGTGTGATGACATCAGCGTTGATAATTGTTATAAATGGCTATAATCTAGGGACAGCTTGCTTGACTATTTGTTTGTTTGTTTGTTTTTGGGACAGTGTCTCACTAGGTAGCCTTGTCTTGCCTGGAACTTGCTGTGTAGACCAGGCTGGCCTGGAACTAAATCACAGGGATCCACATACCTGTGTCTCCCGGGTGCTGGGATTGAAGGCTAGCACCACCACATCTGCCTTCCTTAGTATTCTTATACCTTTAAAGCAAACAGTGCAAATCTAAAAGCTTGAAGGTAGAGCGGTAAGGACAACGTTTCTTGTATTCTACCATCGCCTAACATTTTTCCTCCTACATTTCAAATATAGACTTTCTTTTTAAGAGCAGTTTTAGAGTCACAGCACAGCTCAGTGGCAAACGCAGAGATTCTGTGTGCTCCTGTGCAAAGCACTGTCCACATTTATTACAGTCAGGCTTGACTGATGTGAAGGTCATTCTAAGTCTGTAGTTTTGTCCCAGTTCACCCTTGGTGTGGGGCATTCGTGTGTTTGAACACATGGGCATACACGCACCATTATCATACAGTGCGGCCTCCTTGTCACAAGGTCCCTCTGTGATCCGCTGTTCATCTCTGCCTCCCTCAGTGCTGGTGCCGCTGACCCTTTTACTATCTCCATAGTTTTTCCCTCCTTACAATGTCATAGCATTGGAATCGCGCTTGCATAACCACTCTACATTGCTTCTTCCCGGCCGTGGTGGTGCACACCTTTAGTCCTGGTACTTTGTGGTCTACAAAGCAAGTTCCAGTACAGCCCAAGGAAACCCTGTCTCAAAAAAAAAAAAAAAAAAAAAAAAAAAAAGATGGGCTTCTTTCAGGTTGTGACCTGCCGTGAAAGTTCTTCTCATGGCTGAATCATTCTTTTCTTCGGAGCGCACAATAAGATGGACCAGCGTATTGATTCAGCCGCTATAGGACATCTTGGTTGCTTTTGGTTCTACAGTACTAAGTTAGCAGCCAAGGTAGGCCTTTGTGTGAATATCTATTTTCCCTCTAACACTTTAACACATATAAAGGTGAGTGTTGATGAGAATCAGAGGCCACAGAGCACGCTGTGTGAGGAAATGCCTCCACTGTTTGTCCTGGTCAGGACCATCTCAGGCAGGGGGGCTCTGCCTGTTATCTTTAATGTGTGCGCACACGTGTGTGTCTATGTTTGCGTGCATATGTGCAAGTGCATGTACATGCCATATGTGGAGGAGGCTTGAAGCTGATGCCAGGTGTCTTTCTCGGTGGCTCTCTGCGTTGTTTTCTGAGGCAGGGGTCACCAGGGTCACGCAGAACCCAGAGCTCACCAATTCCTACTCCTCTTGCTCTTCCCCTTGCCCCTGGATCTAGTCTCTGCCCCCTGAGTGCTAGCATTCCAGGAGGCTCCGAGCCGACCCGGCTTCTTTGTGCAGCAAGCACGTTATCCACTGAGCCATCTCTCCAGACCCTTCTCCTATTTTTAAGCCTTTCTTTTCTCCAGCCTTTCCCCTGCTTGCTAAAATGCAGATCCTAGCATTTCACTTCCCAGCTTCACAACTGTCAACAGCTCTCTGCTGCCAGTGAGATAATCTAGTTTTTCATATTGTCATAAGAAATTTCCATAGTTTGATCCCAGCCGGTCTTTCTGGTCCCATCATCCCATGCCACCAGTACTCCCAGGACTCTGTGACATTCCATGTGTAGTCCTTTCTCTTTAGACTCTCTTTGTTCCAGGGTAACATGCTGGTCTAAATTTTGTGGTGTAAATACCATTTATTATGTTCATGGATTCTCTGGGTCAGGAATTAGGACAAGGCACAGTAGGGAGGGCTTGCCTCTCCCATGATGGATAGATCGCTGAGCTCGGCTGAGGAGCTCAAAGGCCAGGGCAGGAGTCTTCTGAAGCCTTGTCTGGCCTTGCTGCTGGCTATCCACTGGGGGCCTCAGTTCCTCTCCACATGAGCCTATTTAACTGGTCTTTCCACGTGGGCTAGTGAGAGCTTCCTCACAGTGTGGTGGCTGGCTCCCAGGGTGAGCACATTCTGTCCAAGCAGAGAGCAGAGACCCAGTAGAAGCTGTATAATCCATCTCAGAATCCACTGTGCTCCCAGTATTCTGTTCACCCAGGCAGGCGGACAGCCCCGCCCAGGCTCGGTAGACAGGGGAGCAGACCTCCGGCTCTCATGGAGGGTCATAGGGAAAGAAAAAAACACTGGGTGGGATTCATGTTGGGACATACATGTATGTGCCAGTATGTGTTTTTGGAAAATGTCAATCAGCTTTCTATCCAACTATAAATATTTGACAAAATCTTATTCAAATAGCAAGGCCCAGTGAAAATGTCACAACTGTTATGAAATCTTTTTATGTGCTAAGTAATTTCTCATTTCGCTATGGTCGGACTCACATGGCTTTCCCCATACCACATATTATTCTTAAGTTTGTATTTTAATCTGTATAAATTATACTTGCCTTAGAACTACATGAGTTAATATGTGAATATACTCATTAAAAACATTTAAATACTGGAAATAAAGCCATTCCACATCCTGACTGTCTCTTACCCAGCACAATCATCTCTACAGGGCTAACAGCTAATAATGTGGTAAGTATTTTCTAGACTTTCCTCTGTGTATTTGCACACACAGCATTTTGAGTTATACACAGCTAACTTTATTTTGTTTTAAAACATTATTCTGTACTTTTCCTGAAACTGTATGAAGTGTAAGAATACCACTGGGTCTGGTGGAAAGATTGTTCAGTATCTAGAGTACTTGCTGCTCTTTCTAAAGACCAGAGTTCAGTACACACACATACACATGCACACACAATTTTTTAAAAATATAAAAATAAACCTTAAACAATAAACCAGAATACCACTTGGTTGTCCTTGTATGTTTGTTACTATACAGAGGTTTTCCTAATCTGTAATATTTAAATATATAATTTATTCCCCTGCTGGTCAGCATCTTAGTGTTTTATGTTTTTCACTCATAATAATGGCTCTGGTGAATAGCCTTGTATACGTGGGAGTGTTCTTTAGGGTGAATTTTTAGAGATGGCTTCCCTAGGCTCTATTGCACGCCCGTTTTCCTTTTCATTATTGCTATCAGTTAGCTCCTCAAACATCAGTGCCAGTTCGTGCTTGCAGTACACGAGAGCACCCATCCCTCACACCCTCACTAACACTTGATGCTTTCAAGCTTTATATTTTTATCACTTGTACAAAAGTTGCATTACGTAGCTGGTATAATTGGAATATTTCCACATATTGATTGGGTGTTTTTATTTTCTCCTCTGTGGCTTGCCAATTTATATAATTAACCCATTTGTCTTGTGTATTGTTTGTTGTTCATCTGAATTGATTTTGTAGCATTACAGATATATGCACATATAATTTATGTTTGTAATTTGTGTTGCAAATCTCTTCTAGGCCGTGGCTTGTCTTTCAGCTTTCTTAGTGATGTGTTCAGAGGAGTTTTAGGTTTTGTATCATTACTTTTTTCCTTCAGAGCTTGTGAGTGTGTATTTGACAGGGTGAAAAGCAGCTCTTGGTTTATAGGCATGGCTCAGTCAGTAGAATACCTGCCACACAA